CCTGGGAAGGGGAAGGGGTCACCTAGTCACTGGCTCTAAGGACCTAGGTTACTGTCATGTCTCTTTAAATTCGTATTTTTGCCTGTTGCACTCTGGGTTGGACCAGAACAACTTCGGGGATCTAGATTCAGAGGGCAAAGTAGGAGCAGGCAGAGCAGGTCCGGTGGGTAGAGGGTGCATTCTGTGGAAGGAGCGCAGGGGCCCCTGCTCTTCCCCTCTGGTCTCTGTGCAGGGTGTCTCACACTGGATCCTTGCTCTAAGCCCCCCATTTCAGGAACCTCTTGAGTGTAGGGTATGCAGGTGTCTAAAAGAGTGGTTCCTGGCACGGAAGGCGAAGGTACTGGTGCTACGGAGGGTGGTCAAAACGGGATGAGATAGGAGTTCCAGGGACTCCGGAGTTGCCTGATCCCGCAATCCTCACTCCATGGTCCTCCAGGGTTTCTGGGCTCCGAGGCAGGGGCCTAGCTAGCGGGGCTTGGGCTAGGGCGGGGGCAGCCAGGAGGGCGGGGAAGGGGCGGGCGCGGGGGCGGCGCTGCAGCAGGAGCAGGGGCCAGGGCCAGAGCCGAAGCCGGAGCCCGAGGCGACGCGAGCTGAGCGGGAGCCACCGAGGCCGCTGCCCGCTCTCCCGCCCGCGCCTCCGCCACCTCCGCGCTCCGCAGGCTGGTGTGAGCCGTGGCCAGTCGCGGCCAGCCAGGGGGCAGCGGGTGCCATGGCCGCGCCGGAGTCGCTGCGGCCCCGCCTGTGTCGCCTGGTGCGCGGCGAGCAAGGCTACGGCTTCCACCTGCATGGCGAGAAGGGCCGCCGTGGCCAGTTCATCCGGCGCGTGGAGCCAGGCTCCCCAGCCGAGGCGGCCGCGCTGCGCGCCGGGGACCGCCTGGTTGAGGTCAACGGCGTCAACGTAGAGGGCGAGACGCATCACCAGGTGGGTCCCTGCGCTGCGCCCCGCCCCCCGGCTCCCTCCTGGGGGCGCGTCCCTGCAGCGCTGGCCAAGATGCCGACGGCCCCCCGCTTCTGCGTGCTGTCTGCTGGGACCCGGCAAGGGTCGCGCGGGGCCCTGCTTGGGCTCGGTGTCGAGGTGTGGGACGTGGCCGGCCAGCTGGCCTCCTGGTGAGGAAGCTCAGTCCTGCACTGGCGGGGGAGGGAGGACATCCTGGTAGGGAGGGGCCGCACTGCGGCTACTCTGGCCAGGGCCCTGGCTGCTTCTGCTAGTTTTGGCCTCTGTGTGCCGTGGAGGGGGAGGAGGTGGCTAAGGCACCTTGTGGCCTTGTGGTACAGATGCTTTTCTGTCAGTGTGTGTGTGTGTGTGTGTGTGTGTGTGTGTGTGTGTGTGTGTGCGTGTGTGTGCGTGCGTGCATGCTTGCAGGTCTCTCTGGGGTCATCCATATGAACACACTACCCAACTGTTTCAGGAGAGGGTGAAAGCATGATTGTGTCAGTGCTGGAACGTGTGTCGAGGGTTGTGTGGACACATCAAGCATGTGTGCCAGCTGTGTGTGTGTGTGTGAGTGTGTGTCCCCGCATGCCTGGTTATACTAGTGTACTTCTCGGGGGCCGGTATGTCTGGGTCTGGAGGAGTCAGCTCTAGTGGCAGCAGCATATTCTTTGGTTTCAGAAACAGCCTCCTCCTGAGAGGCTGCATGGCCCTGTAGAGGTCACTGTCCAGCTCTTGCCTCCTGCAGCTAGAGGAAGGCTGTTCTCCAGGCAGGTTCTGCCCCTGGGGTGTCTGTATCCCACCGAGGGGTAGACACACCTCAGACCTTGGCTCGAGTCCAGCCTCCCTCCACCGTTTCTGTTCTGGATCTCCAGTACCAAGCATGTCCATGACCTACCCGTGTGGTCAGTCCTGGAGCCTGGAGAAAGCGGGGTGGTTCTTGGCTGGGCCACACGTTGAATTCCTGTCCCCTCCAGGGGCCTGCCTTCTGCCTGCAGTGACCACTGGATTTGGTTGTGTGCTGAAGAGGTTGGCAGTGGAGCCCAAAGGTTGGCCCACAGGCAAGGGAGACCAGCAGAGTTGATGTCATCTGCCTTGAGCAGTTGCTGGAATCCACCTGTTTCTCCTAGGTTTCTAGGGTGCTAGTCTCTAAAGAGTCTCACAGAGAGCCACATTAGAACCTTCTACGGCTCAGGAAGATAGGAAGTAAAACTATGACTCCCATTTTACTGAGCAATAGTGGGTTACTGGCTTGGTTCCCATGCCAGAAAGCTTTGGGTGCCGGGATCCTTCTGGTCATGGGGAGAGAGGATGATCACTGAGGGGCCAGGTGAAGATGGCCTTGGGTCGGACCTTCCTGTCTGTGATAGCATGTACTAAGTGAAGTAATGATGGGGATCCTGTCTCGTCACCCCCAGGCCGTGGGGGTGCACTTGTTAACGCTTCCTGCCTTCAGATGTCCGGTGGGCATGGCTCCCTTTGAACTCATACTAACATCCTGCATGATCCACGGTGGCCCACATGCTCTCCACTTCACAGGCACCCATCCAGACACACAGATGGCTGTAAAGCCACACCTGTTCGCTGCTGTACCTGCTACTGTTGGCCTTACCCGCTGGAGTGGAATCCTGCTTACCTGATGTATCTGAGCACCTTAGGTAGAATCCCTAGGTCTTCACCTCTTTGCAGGTCCAGCAGGAATGGGTTTCTCGTCCTGGTCTGGAGGCAAATTGGAGTTCTGAGCTTGCTGGGTATTAGATTCACATTGCATCTCAGAGGAAGAAGTAGACCCAAACACACACTGGGGCCAACTGAGTTGCTCTCTCCTACATCTATACCAAAAGACAGGCTTTAAAATAGACAGACAGACAGACAGACAGACACACACACACATGTGCATACATACAGGTAAGCATGCACACACACATGCATAGACTGGACTGAAATCCTGAAGCTCACCTCAACAGTTTCTGACTCTCCCATCTGGCTGCTCCTGGCAGCTCCTTCCTGTCCTCACCTGAGCCGAGTGAAAGGCCACAAGAGGATCCTGAAGTACTTACTAGCAGCCTGGGCTCTAGCTCCAGGGAGAAGAGGGAGGGAGCTACTGGAACCTGGGGGTGGGGGGTGGAGCCCGGAGACCTCTCTGTTCAGCTGCCCACTCCCGGCTGGCCGGCCGGCCAGCTCCTGCCTGCCTGCTGTCTGTGAGCCGTGCCTAGCCGGGAGTGGTGCCCTATCCAAGTGGTGCCCTATCCATGTGCTGCCCGGGGTGTTGGCTGCTGACCGGGTCCTGCTACCCACCCATTCCAGGTGGTACAGAGGATCAAGGCTGTGGAGGGGCAGACTCAGCTGCTTGTGGTGGACAAGGAGACAGATGAAGAGCTCTGCAGGCGACAGCTGACCTGCACTGAGGAGATGGCCCACCGAGGGCTCCCACCAGCCCACCACCCCTGGGAGCCAAAGCACGACTGGGCATGCTCGGGCAGCCTGGGCTCGGACACTGGCCAGAAGGTATGGTGGGCTCTGTCTGTGGGGACAATGAGCCTTTTCCAGGCCTCCCATCACTGCCTCTAATAATAATCTTCACTTTGATCAAGTCTCTAGCCTCCGTTTCTTTGCGGGGCTCTTTCCGTACTGCAGTAGGCCACACTCTATGCCCTTGGTGGCCACTTGTGGCTACTCTTCTGTCTTTGTTCCCTCTACTTCAGATTCCAGTGGCTGAGGAGCCTTGGGAGGAGGAGCTGCTGGCACACTAAAGGACTGAGTGTCTGTTAGATATCTGTCATCCTGGGCTCTGTCCATGTCTGAGCTATCCAATGTGCTCTGAAGGCCTTGGGTGGATTAGATCCTGCTGCAGTGGGGTGGAGGGTTCCAGGGAAATGGGAACAGAGACAGGGACTGGCATCCAGGAGAGCTGCACGTGGCCCCTCCTAAGGAGCTTCTGGGAGGAGTCCTTCCCTTGACTCCCTCCCCGAGGGAGTCCTTGTATGCTGTTGTCCCGTGGCCCGTTAGGTACCACCTCCCTCTTGTCCCCTTCCAGGATAGGAGACCTGGAAGAAACAAGGGAAGGTCTGTTCCACCTCCTCAGTAGCTACCTAGGCAGAACCTGGGGCAGGAGGAAGGGCCCGAGGCTGTTTGTCCTGTTTCTTGGAGGCTCTGGTGTTATTGTCTCTCACAACTTCTAATTATTATTTGAGCCAAGGGGTTCCCCACATCCAACTGCGAGAAGCATTGGCTGAGGGTTGCTGGAGGGTCAGGTGAAATTTGCCTTTGACCTCACCCAAATGTCTCCTCCTTGAGCTGGTGGGGCCTGTGCCGATCCCCTTAGGACCTGAGGTTGGGAGATGACACTCCCCGTGGTAAGGCCAACCTGGGCAAAGGTGTCTGCTTTGAACCTGTGGATTCTTTTCTTTCTTAGAGACCTGAGGGCAGGTGCCAAGCCCTGGAATCTAGATTCTGCCCTCCAGCTGTTTAAGATCAGGAGTCTTTAGAAGGAATCCTGAGGGAACAAGATGGGGCCAGGCCCATGTTCCTCTGGCTGAGGACTAAGAGCTCCCCTTTTTCCCAGGCACCCCTGTCCCCTCCTTAGGAAGAGTCCTGTTGTTCCCCGCCTGTCCATTCATTTAGATGCAAACAGCCCTATTCACCTTCCTGTGGAAAAATCCACCCTGGGGCCTTATCTGCAGATGGGGTGGCCCAGGCCCCTTGGCTGTGGGTGGGTCCTTCCCCGTCCGTCATTGCTATTTCAGGCTTGGAGGGGCTGCAGGAAGCCCTAGGAGGGGGCTTCCTCTGGGGGTATTTATAGAGGACAAAAGGGGTACAATGGGCCGTCCCATTGTAGATGGGTCAGATCTAGGGACAAGGACTCGGAGGTATAGGAGCCCAAGGGACAGTGTTCCCCTGGAAGAGAAAGGGGAGCCTCACAGGACCTCTACAAACCGGGCTTAAGACAGCCTGCCTCAGGCTGGGTGTGGGAGCCCCAGCGGGTTGGGGGATCGGGGGCTGGACAGACAGGTGTGCCTCTGCTCTGCAGGGTGGGGGCGTCCACTAGGTGACCCCATGGGAGGTTAGGGCTTTCTCGGCCTCCCTGAACTTGTGTCTGCAGGCTAGGGGAGGTGGGACAGGGGAGACTAGGATACTCTCTGCCCCTCCCTTTGGAGGCGGGAAAGCCTAGTCAGTGGTGACTCAGCCCTGGGCCATTCAGGGCTGGGGGTGGCTGCAGCTGCAGTGAGCTGATGCTAGTGATGACAGGGACCTGCCCCCCAAACAGAGACCCAGCAGCTGGCAGTGCCAGGGACGGGGATAGTGATAGACCATGCCTTTCCACCCCTACGTCCTACCCCGTCTGTCCCTCCTGGAGGACGTGGGGACTGAGTCAGGGTGCTGTAACTCTGCAGGTGGTGGCTTCACGGTCCAGGATGGTGTGGAACGAAGTGATAGCAGCAACACTTTGGGGACTCCCCTGGTTCCTTCGGCCCTCTTTCCCTCCCCCTATCCACTGCCTTCTGTTCTCCAGCCAAGGTCCCCTCCCTTGACTCCCTGTCTCCACTGCCCTGGGTCCTGGAGCAGGGCAGGGCCTCGCAGCAGCTTCCTTCCTTCCTTTCTTGGGACGGAAACCCAGCTGGGTGTGGGGGGCGCCGGACAGGGGAGGGGGTTCAGTAACCACCCTGCTACCCAAAGTGAGTCAGCCCCTACGTCCCCACCCATCCCCAGGGAAGCTGGGCCACAGTGGGAGGTAGATAAGTAGGGTGGCAGTCTCGGCTGGCCCGAGAGCTCAGGCCACTCCGGGCTGGTCAGCTCCTGTTTGCCGTTCCTAGCCCACTTCTCATGGCTCGCTCCAGGAATACCATGCTGCCTGCCTCCGCCCCAGGAGCTTCTCCACAGAACTTCCACCGAGGGCTCGTCCAGGTCAGGTGCAGTCGGGCAGAGATGGGCTGTCAGGACCCCAGCCTTAGCTCAGTCTCTGGGAAGGGACAGAGAACTTGGGGATGTTTGTGCCTGCAAGACGGACCCCAAGCAACAATGGGGGCCTTTCTCTGCTGGGGCTGGTGAGTCATTAACTGGTGGGGGGGCAGAGCCTGGTTCCTAGGGCACCCCCATATCGGCCTTTGTTTGGCTATAGGCTCAGCAGGGGTACTGGGGCTCGCCCAGCTCCAGGGCTCTGTGTCTCAGAGCCCGTGGGAGCCAGAGAGCCTGTCTGAAGAAGGGCAGGAAGTGTGCGCACAGCTAGGGCTGGGAGGAAGAATTCCAGCAATGCACCCCTCCCACTGCTCATGGGGGCACCCTACCCCCACTTGCTTGCTCTAGCCGGCCCCCTCTACCCCACAGGCTTGCGGGTGCGCTGCAGTCCTTATACGTGAGGGCCTTATCCCAGGCCTGGCACCACTTGGATACTGCTTGTGGCCAGAGATGGCTTAGGCTAGTTGGCAAAAGGGATCTTTTCAGCCTGTGCTGAGAGGTGGCCGGTCTGGCTTGAGGCTGGGGATTGGCCAGAACAGCCCCTCAGGAATGGCCCCGAGTTTCATGGTCACAATAGCTTGCCAAGTCCTGCTTCCCGTTTGGGAGCCCCAAGAAACCCTGCCCTGTAGGCTACCACAGAGGCCGTGGGAAGAGGCCACTGGGGCGAGTGCCATGGACATAAGCTCGCGTGTGTGGGTGGCTGTGTGTGTCCCTGCTGCTTGTTTATGAGTGTGAGCTTGGCTGTCTTGTCCCTACGGCCACATCATGTGGCCCTGCCTCCTAGGACATGACTCTGTGCCAGGAGTGGTCGCACATTTCCTTGCACTGTTTCAGCACTCGACTCCAGTTCTCTCCCTTGGGAACTAGTCTCTGGCTGTCCCAGGCTCGGCTTTGATGGGTGCCTCTGTTAGGGGCTATCGGGGCCTTGCCCCAAAGCCATAAACTTTTCACCTGTGTCCTTTCGAGCTGACAAATCTGTGCAGTGGGGTTCTGAAGATCTCTGAGGCCTTACGACCCTGAATTCAGCCAGCATTGTCTAGCTGAGCCCCCGGGGGACGAGGGGACAGTTTAACTTCTGTCATCCTGGGTGTGATGGGGCAGATGGTGGCTGTGCACCAAGGGTCGACAGGAGACTCCAGCTGGGCTGTGGGGTCAAGGAAGGGGTCCTGAGTGCAGGCTAGACAAAAAGAGGGTATCTATGTTGAAGGGACATCCCAGAACCCGAAAGCCAGGAGTGGCCCTGCATGGAAGGATGTACTTACTCCTGCATCTGGCTGCTACCCATGGACATGGATAATACCACATTTAGGATTTGGAGCTAGGCATGGGGACATATGCCTATAATTCCAGCACTCACTAAAACAAAAGATCACTTTGAGTTTTGAGTTTGAGGATAGCCTGGGTTACAATGTGGGGCCAAAACACCAACAAGGGAGGTATAGTGGGCAGCTGGGTTGGGGGAAGACAGGTGCCTGAGATTTAGAGATCTGCCGAGACCTGAAGGAGCCTCCCAGCTCCATGGTCCCCCAGCCATCAGACATGCAGGGCAGGGGTAGCAGTGGAAGATGAGGGGAATGCCCACAGCATTGTCACCTGTCCACACACCCGGAAACCTGAGCTGTCACCTGCCTGCCCACCCCAGCCACTGGCCCTTTGTAATTGGGCACCGGCAGCCGCTGGCCATTCAGCAGCGGTCTCTGGCTTGGCCCTTGGCTGGGGTGGGGGGGTCAAAAGGCTGGCCCCTGGCTGCATAGCTTCCTGGCCCAGAGGTCTTCTGCAGGATGCCAGAGGTAAACAAAGGCAGCCTGGGGCAGTGGTGGGGGTTCCGTGTGGGTACCATGAGCCCTTCCATGTTGTGGGCTAGGAACCATTGTAGTCTGGGAGTGGCTGTCACTGGATCTTTCCTACTTGAAGCCTCCTCTTTCTGGGCCCACGGGGTGGGTGGGGGCAGTGGTTCCAGGTAGTGTTGGAATTCAAAAGCAAATAGCTGCCACAGAGCCCAGGGAGCCTCTTGGAGGCCTTGAAGAGAAAACAAAGCTGCTCAGGCCTCCAAGGAGGAGGAGGAGGCGAGACCTAAAGGCACAGTCTTGCCAGGTCCTGTGATGGCGGGCATTATCCCATCTGGTCTCCCAAGCTGCACAGTGACCCCTATGAATTCTTCCATGGCTCCTGCCAGCAGCTCTCTCCTTAGATGTCTCCACGTTTGAGGACAGGCTCTGTCACTCCCCCCACGGCTAAAGCTGTGTTACAGGCACAGCTAAACCCCTCAGTCAGGGGGCACAGAGTGTTTGCCAGTGAGACCTAGGCTTGGTTCCTGAGAGCACCTCCTATGTGTCTACAGGATGTCAATGGGCCCCCAAGGGAGCTGCGTCCCCGGCTCTGCCACTTACGAAGGGGACCCCAGGGCTATGGATTCAACCTGCATAGTGACAAGTCCCGGCCTGGTCAGTACATCCGCTCTGTGGACCCGGGTTCGCCTGCTTCCCACTCTGGTCTCCGTGCCCAGGACCGGCTCATTGAGGTACCCTGGGCCCTGTGTATTTGTGTGTCCCTGAGTGTCTGTGTCCGGGCCCTGGGTCCCTGCAGGAGAAGGGGAGACAGAGGGAACTTGAGCTGGTATTCCTCTTGCTGCCTCGGCTGGTGGTGGCTTTGATGAATATTTGATGGCACACCTGGCTGGGTGGCATCGGGCTGCCTGGGCCCCTCAGGCCTTTCTGACCCTGTGTGGGTGGTGGCAGGTGAACGGGCAGAATGTGGAGGGGCTGCGCCATGCCGAAGTTGTTGCCAGAATCAAGGCACGGGAGGATGAGGCCCGGCTGCTGGTGGTGGATCCCGAGACTGACGAACACTTCAAGAGGTTGCGGGTCACACCCACTGAGGACCATGTAGAAGGTAGGCCACTACCTTAGGGGCACAGGGTAGGGTCAGTGCAGTCACTAACATGCTGTCCCCACAGGTCCACTGCCATCACCAGTCACAAACGGGACCAGTTCTGCTCAGGTGAGAGGGTGGGCCCAAGTAACCATAGTGTACCTACCTGTGTCCCCAGATATGACAGAGGCTGCTTCCCGGGGAGGTCTCTGCACTTGAGGATGGACAGTTGTGAAACCTGTTTGGCTTGGCCATCTCAAAAATACCCACCTTGCTAGCCAGGCATGATGGTATACACCATTAATCCCAGCACTTGGGAGGCAGAGGCAGGTGGATCTCTAAGTTTTGAGGCCAGCCTGGTCTACAGAGCGAGTTCCAGGACAGCCAGGACTACATAGAGAGACCTTGTCTCAAGACAAAACAAAACCCACTGTGGCTCCGTATGGGGTCAGCACTGAGGTTCACACGGTGGGAGGTGCCTGGGGTCCTAGACTGCCCCTCCATGTTGTTCCTTCATGACTGCCAAGCGGTCTTCAGTCCTTACCTTCCTGGGACACCGGCCCTGGCTGGACATCAGGTGACATTCACCTAGCCGACTCCCACTGCCACAGCTGCTCTCCCCTAGCATGACTGGCCAGGTCGGGCTCGCCTGTTCCCTGCTGGCTGCCAGTCATGCCCTGGCCTAGACGGTGACAGAAGTGTGATACTGCTGAACAAGGAATAGATGAAGCTGTGCCGCGCGCGCGCGCGTGTGTGTGTGTGTGTGTGTGTGTGTGTGTGTGTGTGCTCAAAAGTGAACCTGTGCGCGTGTGAGCATGTGCCAGTGCGAAGATCTAGGCGCACCAGGATGGGGACGCTGAAACCACAACCTACCCTTGGTTTCCTAGCTCAATGGTGGTTCCGTGTGCTCATCCCGAAGTGACCTGCCAGGCTCAGAGAAGGACAATGAGGTAATTCTGCTGTGGTGCTCACACATGGGGTTTCAGAGGGCTTAGGAGTTAATCTCTATGGAAATACCTACCAGGACAGTGGGGCTACCATTTCCAGGAGGCCTCTCAGGCTGGCTGTCCTAGGTCCTGAGGAGGCCTCTGGTGTAAGTCCCTTGGGAAGGTAGCTGCCGGGGATATGACTCACTGTTTGCACGTTACTTGTACCCAGGATGGCAGTGCCTGGAAGCGAGACCCTTTCCAGGAGAGTGGCCTCCACCTGAGTCCCACAGCAGCTGAAGCCAAGGAGAAGGCTCGTGCTACCCGGGTCAACAAGCGGGCACCACAGATGGACTGGAACCGGAAGCGAGAGATCTTCAGCAACTTCTGAGCCCCTCTCTGCCTGTCCGGGGCCCCAGGGTCTCTTCCTGCACGGACCTTGGGCCTTTCCAGAGCTTCCCAAGCCTCAGCAGACTGGAGGGTGGCATCACACCACCCAGAAAACAACCCATGACCCCACGAACCCTTGTCTTGTCCACTGGGTGCTGCGGCTGTCATAGCAAGATGAGGGAAGAGAGAAACCCAGAGATGAGAGACAGAAAGACAGAGACAGAGACAGAAACGGACAGACAGAGACAGAGAAGCAGTGAGAGAGGGAGGAGCTGTGAATGGTGGTCTGCCAAGGGCCTTTGCTGTTCTGCCTCAGGCCTGCTGACTGAAAGGAATTCATGTTTTTGCTTTTTTTCCTAAAAGGTCTCCAGCTCCACATGTGTTTCTAGTTAATAGTGGAGCCCCCTCCCCCAGCCCCTGGGGACTCACTCTCTAAATAATTGCAATAAAACAAACCTTTCCCTGCAAACCCTCTCTACCCACCCTGTCAGCAGCGCCATCCTGAGCAGAGACCAGGGACTCTGGGGAACAGGCAGCCAGGGGCCCTCAGGGCCAGCTGTGTGCAGGAGCTTACATTCTGTCCCCTCCCTAGCATCCCTAGCGAGGCACGGTCCCTATACCAGGCCTCTCTTCTCTGCCTGGCTACCCCTGTGCTGCCTCCCACATGCTGGGTTCTGGAATGCAAAGCCTAGGCTCTCTGAGGGGCCAGAGGATGGCGGTTCCATGACTCCGAGAGGGAAGCCTCTGGACCAGCTCGTTATCCTGCTCTGCAGCTCCCGAACCTGGAGATGGTGGGTCTGTGTTAGCCATTCCCAGATGGTCCTGGGCTCCTGGGCCTGGCCCCTGCCTTGTGCCTACCTGGCACCCACCCTCTGACTTTTCCTCAGTGCTCTCAACGCCCAAACTCACTTATCGGCACCGCAGTCTGCCTCGTAAGCCATAGCGCACGTGCGCGCGCACCCTCAAATTAAACAGGCCTTGCCTTGGACTCTGGCGCCTGTGTCTTTTCTGAGTCTTCAGCTGAGGGGCAGGGTGAGGAATAACACCACCATCTCCTCCTTCTTCTCCGGCCCATCCTGCTAAGCCTGTGTCCAGCAGCCCAGAGTCTAGGTCTCCAGAGTTCTCCTGTTAACATGGGGTGGGGTCCTGGCACAGGCTGAGCACAAGTCCAGAAGCTAGAAGGTTCAGGGAAGTGCTGGGGCTGCAGGACAGAGCGTGAGAGTTCACAAGGACACTCCCCCCTCTCACCCCCCTTCACCCCCCCCCCCACAGGCTTCCCAGCAGCTGGCTGCAGCTGGCTCTGTTTCCTCCCTCCTGGATTTATACTCCCCTCTCTTCCCTCCCTCCTCCGCTCCCCAGGATACAGCACGTCCCCACGCAGCCTCCCAGGCAGTCCTGTCCGGCATGTGAACACACTGCACACACTGCATTCACATACATGCTTCTTGGCCTAATCCTAAACCAACTGGGCCAGAAGTCAAGTGTAAATAACCCCCCAGCTTTATTACACACCCTGCAAACAACCCCCCAACTTTATTACCCCTCCCCACAAAGGCACTTGACAGACACTGGCCAGAGGAAGCCCTGTGACCCTCAGCGGTCCTGGGCAGCAGGACACAGGGCCTGGTTGAGACAGGTCTGGCATTGAGGGTGGACTGGAAGGCAGATCTGCTGGCCGAAGCCCACCAGCAGCCCGTTGATCTCACTCCACAGCTCCCTGTGAGGGTAAGGGACAGGTCAGTGTCGAAGAGGGCGGGACTGCTCCCTCGTCCAGACTCAGCCGGCTACACTGTACCTGGGAAGCCACTCCTCCAAGGCTGTGCGTGTCTCCTCTGGGGACTTGGTCACCTTCTTGGTCCACCTCAGGCGGTTGGTGATTCTGTGCACATGTGTGTCCACTGCTGCTTTGAGACAGGGTACGGTGAAGAAGGGCACTCTGCCCGCTGGACCGTGCCCCACCCCTATCTCTAGGCAAGTGTGGCTAGGAGACGGAGCCCAGGGCCTTTCCTACCTGGATCTCTAAACAAGATGGGAACCATGGAGCCTGAGAGAAGGGGATGTGGCCGCCTGGCTGGCTGAGTCTGAGCCCTCAATCTGGGGTGCAGGCAGCCTGTTCTTTGTTTTGTTTTTGAGACAGGGTCTCTCTTCATGACTCTGACTATCCTGGAACTAACTCTGTAGACCAGGCTGGCCTCAAACTTAAAGATACACCTGCCTCTGCCTCCCAAGGGCTGGGATTACAGGCTTGCAGGTGGATCTCTTGAGTTCTAAGGCAGCCTGTTCTACAAAGTGAGTTCCAGGACAGCCAGGGCTCCACAGAGAAACTGTTTTAAAACAAAACAACGCATGAGGCAGGCATGGTAGTTCACATCCTTAACCCCAGCATTTGAAAGGTGGAGGTAGAACCACTCTGAGTTCAAGGGTAGCTTGGGCTACAGAGTAAGACTCTCTTAAAAAAATCCAACTCCCGCCGGGCGGCGGTGGTGGCGCACGCCTTTAATCCCAGCACTCGGGAGGCAGAGCCAGGTGGATCTCTGTGAGTTCGAGGCCAGCCTGGGCTACCAAGTGAGTCCCAGGAAAGGCACAAAGCTACACAGAGAAACCCTGTCTCGAAAAACCAAAAAAAAAAAAAAAAATCCAACTCCTTATCTTGGGAAAAACAAAAAACACCAAACCCTAAAGTGTGTACTCTTGATCCAAAGCCTCCTCAAGAATCGGGGCTGGATCAGGGAGGGCTTGCTCTGCTTTCTCTGCCATCTTCCGGGGTTCTAAGCCCCCCACCAGCTTATCCACCGGCTGTGAGCACTGGGCTGGGTGGCGGCAGCTGGGTCCAGTGGGTTGGCCTGAGGTCACTGTCACAGAGTTACTGGGGACAGAGTGGAGAGCAAGGTCAGGCTGGCGACAGCCTTGCTCCATCAGCTGGCCATGGCAGGGATGCAGCCTCATGCCTTCACTGGGGTCACCTGCCAAGCCACCCAGCCAATGGCAGTGCCTTCCCTGCCTTTCCCCGAGGTTTGTCTAACAATAAGCCACTCCCCACACCAGCTCCCTGACTTGACTGCCTGGGAAAAGGGGTGCAGGCTGAGGGGGTCACATCATGGAAGCCTTAAGCCTCAGTTTCCTTCTCTGTAACACAGGGGTGATCATATTACTTAGAACCCCAGAGGCCCAATCCAGGACCACATCACGGATGAGCCTTCTTTCTACGCTGGCCAGAGGGGCTTCCTCTACATCTGTGTTGTTACGGAGGGTGCGATTACTTCTTCATTGGCCGTGAACTCAAGTTCAGAAAGGTCAAGTGTGTGACCTAAGGCCACCCAGGTGCAAGGGTCAGATCTCCACAGTCCTAGCTTTTTAGTTGAGAGGACATCTTTTCTCCTTAGGAGGCAGCCCTGGGGTCTCACTGAAGGTAGCCAGGCCCTCAGACTCCAGAGGAGTGGGTGGCATTCAGATACTGCCCTGTCCACTGGAAGCACATTTCCCGGAGAGGCCCTTCCCCCACAGAGCTGCCCAGCACAGCACTCCCAGGACACAGGCAGCTGAGGACAGTGTCTAGATAAGCTCAAGTGTCGACTAAGGCTGCTGCCGAGGAGGCTGAGGTGGGGAGGCCTCACCCACTTCCTTACCTGTCAGGCCCTTCTAAGGCTTGCTGTTCTCTAGTCTCAATGGTTGGTCACCTGCTCCCAGTCAAAGCCCTGGGCCCCTAGCTGCCCTCTACCCACTGGGCAGTACTACCACGCTACAGGCTTAGAGACAGGCTGAAGGAGCCCTTCCAGCAGGCACATGCAGGAGTCAGGGGTTGGAGGCCCAAAGATAGGTCACGGCTGAAGATTTTGATTCCTATGTGACCCCAGGAGCCCCCAACTCCTCTGGGCAAAGTTCTGGGAAGGCATTATTTCTGTCCCGGCCCCAGGGAGTATGTCTTCAACCTAGTTACACAGAGGTGCTCCAAATGCTAGGTGAGGATACTCAGAAAAGGGATTCCAGAAATGACCCTCCTTCCCCATCCCAGAAGACCCACCCTCCTCCTCCACGCTACCTCAGTTTTCCTCGACGTACCCCACCCATTCTTCTTACTCAGCTGTACGGCCGCTATTCCTTCTGCCTGGGGCATACTTGTACCTTTTGGTCTGGCTAACTCACCAGACGCTCTAAACTGAAACATGACCTCAGAAAGATTTCCTGGAGTTAGGCACAGCAGTGCGTGACTATAATCCCAGGACTTAAGCAGCTGAGGCAGGAGCCGGCCGGCGGTGGCACACGCCTTTAATCCCAAGGGCCCTCACAGAGATGGGCATGCCAGAGGAACAGCAAAAGTGAGTTCTTGTCATCAGTGCCCAGCTGTGAGCAGGCTGGCTTGCTCAGCACTGAGAATACCCTTTTGAGACTCTGGTTTGAGTCGCAAAAACTTCGGGGCACTCCAACAGAAGCAAGCAAGCTCAGAGTTAACTTCTCCGTCCTTGTGGCACAAACCACTCACCTACGCCTGACGTGGTCCCCCAGGCCACAGCCATAGCCAAGTGTGCCATCTTGGGCCCAACACCCGGCAAGGCTACCAGCTCTGCCACGGTGGCAGGGATGTCCCCTTCATAGCGCTGCTGCAGGATGGCGGTGGTCTGCTTGATGAACTTGACCTTGTTCTGAAAGAAGGTGGTGCGGTTCAGCCTTGGGGTGAGGCATAGTTTATCAGGGAGACCCACAGGTACCCAGAGCTGTCCATCACCCGCCCACGCCTCATGTATCCACCGGCCCCACCTCTCCAGGAGGTGAGGAGCCAAAGGCAGCAGAGGCTTGAAGGGGCCCCCTAGCAGGAAGGACTCCAGTACATGCCTAGAACTTGCGCCCACTGAAGTGGGCCAGTGACGTGGGTGGGAACCAGCCTGGGTCCCCTGCCTCAGCTTTCCCTCCCTAGGACCTTGACTCAGTAGCACCTGGACCTTCAGGAAGGAAGGCTGGAGCCTGGGGCTCCCCCAAGCAACTGGCAGACCAGCTGGGTGGTTCCCATCCTGTGCCTGAGTGGAGAGGGCTATTTAAAACCAATCTGATGGCCGTGGCCCACGCAGTGCCAAGGGGAAGCAGCTCCACCCACAGAGCCGCTTTCAACAGATCCACCCGACACCCAGGGTTCTGCCGAGTAGGGCAGCAGCCTCTTTGGAGTAGTGCACTCCAGGGAGCCTGGGGGGGGGAGGGGAGAGGGGATGGGCAGGCAGCTAGGTGGGAGGGTAGAGGAATGAAGGGATGTAAACAGGCAAGTCCCAGAAGCTTCAGGGACAGGGAACTAGTCCCATGGTATAGACTCCTGGCAGGTGAGAAGCACTAAAGGCCTCCGTAGTCAGAAATGCCTGCCCACCATCTCCAGTGTCCCCTCTTGGCTCTGTTGCCAAGGGTAAGGCTTACCCTCCAGAAGCCCACAGGGTAGATGAGCCTGCCCAGCATGTCATCATCTGTCTGCAGGATGCTTTCCACAGTCAAGCCTCGGGCCCGTAGGCGCTGCATGGCACCGGCTGTCACCTGGTCTTTGGTCTGGCTGGAGAGCATCAGAGACAGGAGTACCTGGTACCTCTGCACCTGCTTGTGCATTAACAGGGGTCAGGATGGTGACTGACCCCTGTCAAGTTCCTGACCCGCCTTTACCTCTTATCCTGGACCTCTTACCCATCTGGGGTCGTGGGGTCTGTCTTGTCACACCTAACACGGACTAATTATCTGCCTCTATAGAGTAGTGTGAGGCTCCAATGAGTGACGTGGAATCATACCTAGTCCACATTAGACAACCATTGGCTACTACTGTTACTGTTACTGCTTGGTCAATGATAACACTACTCGTTTCATACACAAGAAGGCCCAGAGACATAAGTACTGGAGCCATCCGGGACAGAAGGCGGTTAGAGCTAAGGTTAGTCTAAGCAAACAGTGCAATGTAAGTCTCCCATTACTGAATGTTTCCAGATGTCACCACTATGCATGAGGCCTCAAGTCGCAGGCACT